CCCTATTAACCCTAAACCCTAAACCACTAAACCTTAACCCCTATTAACCCTAAACGCCCAAGAAACCCGGCTCCTGCGGGAGGGCTGGACGCCTTTGCTGATTGCAGCCGCCTCCGGTCGCTGCAAGATTGCTCATTTTTGCCTGCAGGCAGGGTTTAGGGTTTAGGGGGTTTAGGGTTTAGGGGGTTTAGGGTTTAGGGTTTAGGCTTGCAATATAGACAGTGAGAGGGGTTTAGGGTTGTGGGCCTCACCTCATAAAGGGGCTGAAATAATTACCAAGGCTATTCTGGGAGGGGGTTCTTATTATAAGAATACATGGTGTAATATACACCAAAACCCTATTCTAATTACTACGGCCCCTACATTACTGTATACCGTAAACCCAAAACTGTTTGGAGTCGAAAGGTGGAGTCTCGGCGGTTCTAGGAGACTGTCTTTAGGGATTTGGGGCTTCAAGACTTTCCGGGTTTAGGGCGTTTAGGGTTCAGGGCTAGGTTAGGCCTTAGCGCAGGGTCAGCGTTGCAGTTCGAAAAATTAGGGTTTAGGGGTAGGGTTTAAGGGTTAGGGGCAACTCACCCTTAACCCTAAAGCCGCGTAACTTGTTTTGCCCTCGCTTGCCCTTCGCGTGATAACTGTCACTTGGTGTTGGAACCGTCGGGTTCCGAGACCCTAATTAAAGCGTAAAGCCCTATTGACCCCGAGCCCTTAGCCCCAAACCCTGAACCCTAAACCCCAAACCCCAAAAACCCTCAACCCTGAACCCTGAACCCAAAAGCCCTAAACCTAACGGCCCTCTGCCCTTTCGTGGTATATGGGGGTTTCCGAAAATAGGGGACCCTAATATAGTAGCTTAAATAATAGGATCCCTATTATAAGGACCCCAAAATAAGGTACCCTAATTTTCTGAAACTCCCATATGGGCTCACCCTAAACCCGAGCACCCGGCCCTCCTCCGTGCTCTCCGATCCGTGGGTCCACATCGCTCTCAGTTCTTGGGGTCTTGTGCTTGAGGGTTTGGGGTTCAGGGTTTAGGGTTTAGGGTTTAGGGTTTAGGGTTTAGGGTTTAGGCCAAGTTTAGGCTTTATAGGGCCTTGCATGGATCCGAAACCATTAACCCCTAAAGGAACCCTCAACTACGCTCTAAACCCTTAAAGTTAAGGTGTTTGGGGTTCAGGGTCTTAGCTTCTGCGAGGCACGGGCAGATGTGAACTGCGCCAACAGCCTCCCGGCACTTGAGGGCTGCGACAATTCGGGTTTATAGGGTTGAGGTTTTTGGGGGTTTATAGGGTTGAGGTTTTTGGGGGTTTATAGGGTTCAGGTTTTTGGGGGTTTATAGGGTTGAGGGACCCAAAAACCTCAACCTTAAACCCGAACTGGTTTGTGCTTGGCGCCGGAAGGTGCAAGCGCTGATGCTTGCCGGCTTAATAGCGTAGGCCTCAAGCCCCAACAACTCGGCCGATGACTCGTACACTGCTTTGTGGGACCTGGACGCGCCCTGTACCTTCAAATAGGGTTTAGGGTTTAGGGGAGTCATATGGTCCCAAATATTTCAACGAAGGTACATGGAGGGTCTAGGAACTGACCCAGAAAAGGTTTCCGACCCAGTGGTGGCACAGAACAAGGGTTCGGGGTGGACGATAACTGCAAGACTGTTTAGGGTATATGTATATACCCCTAAACCCTAAAAGGCCAAAATCCCGAACCCTTAAACCTTAAAAACCCAAACCTCCTAAACCTTAAAACCATCTAAACCCTAAACCCTTCCCCCAAGGCAAAGGGTATGCAGCCCTGCACCTGGCTGCGGCTGGCGGCTACCCGCAGGCTGCAAGTGAGTTGTGTGCAGACCCGATACTATAATCTACAATTGACACCCTTGAACAACAGACCCCTACTTCAACATGGGCGAAAATATTACATAGTAGAATTAGTTCATTAATTAACTAATCAATATATATATATATCTCTCTCTATATATATATATATATATATTTTTATTTATTTATACGTGTATATATATATATATGTATATATGTATGTATATACTATATATAAATATAATATGCATACATGCATATAGAAATAAGTGTGTGTATATATATATATATATACATACACATACATATACATAAATAATAACGTCACACACACAATACTATAACAAACTATAACATGAATTCCACAATATATCAGGAAAAAATATATGTATATCTCCCAATATGGACCCCAACATTCGTGTCAGCATGCTTGAGCCCTGCTTCTCACCATGAGGTGGTGATGATGCTGCTCCAAAGCCGCGCAGACAAGGAGCCCGCGAGCTGTTAATCCATGGGCCGGTATGGGGTTTAGGGTTAAGGGTTTAGGGTTTAGGGTTTGGGATTTAGGGTTCAGGGTTGACTTCAATGTGCACAGGCTAAAGCTTTAACTTAAACCCTAAAGCTTAAGCTCTAAACCTGCTAGACCCGGAGCACTAGAGGTCGTAGACCTTGACCCCTGCGCCCTTGATGCTGACACCTAATCCGTCAACCAGAAACCTTGAACCTTACACCCCAAACCGCAAACCCTAACCCTGACTCTTGAACCTTCAGCACCCAAATCCCCCTGTAGGTCCCCAACCCTCGCATCCTCACCTAGGGAGGGTGTAGGGTTTAAGGTTTCGAGTGAGAGTTTCAGATTGATGTTCACGTTGAACTCCTGAAACACCATGACAAAGCTCACCTACTTCCCAGACTGTAGGGCTATCAATGGAAGCCTATCGACCCCGATGTAACCCGCCCGTGACCAAAAGCCGTTCAGCTTCAAGCCCTAATCCTCAAACCCTTCTGTAACTCATTACTATATAGCGGTTTGCAAGTACCAAAGCCCAAACTCTAAACCCGAATTCCCTTAACCTGAACTTCCCTGTGCCCCAAGTCCACCAAATCGTTTGGGGTTTAGGGGGGTTTGGGTTTGGGGTTTAGGGACCCTGCAACCAGGCCTATCCAATACATGCGCTGCAAATCCAGACAATCATTAAACTAAGCCCAACCTCAAAACCGCAATTTCCTTCCCGCTCAACCCGAGAAAGTGCCCAGAGAGCCCATACCCCAAACACCCCCTTAACCCTAAACCCTAAACCCTAAACCCTAAACCAACACGGAGATGCTTGACCCCTTATCTTCCTTCCTAACTGCTGGGGACCGTGGTCTCTCAAAAGGCTTTATAAATCCTGAAACCCGAAAAAATCCTCAGAGAAAGCCCTTATTTGGATGCCTCCATGATAGACCCTTTATAGAACTAAAGCCCTAAAGCCTAAAGCCAAAACCTCTTCTGGATCCCTTTACGGATCGCATTAAGGATCCCTTTTAAGGTAAACCCGGAACCCTAAAGCCCTAAGCCCTAAACCCCAAACCCCTTATAGATCCCTTTAAGGAACCCTGAACCCTAAACCGTAGCTCTAAACCCCAAAAACCGCACCCGAAGGATGCCGTGGGCCCTGCCGGCACTGCCCTGACCTTGGCGGCTGCTCGTGGCTTCCTCAAGGCAACCTCGGCCCGAACGGTTTTAGGGTTTTAGGGTTTTAGGGTTAAGGGTTTAGGGTTTCAGGGTTTGGGGTTATTTAGGGTTTAGGGTTTAGGGTCAGGGTGGGTGTGGGTTGTGTTTTTTTGGTTTTAGGGTTGGGGTTTAGTTTGTGTTGTTGTTTCTTTTGTTAGGGGTTTGTGGTGTAGTGTGTTCTGTTTTTTGTTCTACGGGTTTGGGTTTATGTTGTTTTGTGTGTTTGGTTTTAGGGGTTTGGGGTTAGGGCTTTCAAGGTTTAGGGTTTAGGGTTTGGCCTTAGTAGTTTATGTATCTGCTAGTCCTTACAGGGTCTTACAAGGTTAGGTGTAGGGTTCAACATGATGCCTTTGCGGGATCCTTTAAGGTGTAGGGGGCTTGGATAACGAATAGTTATTAATTTATCTTAGGGTTCCCGAATACACCCCGAAAGAAAGTCATGCAAAATGCTAGTCTAACAGTTGGCTTCTGATCCGTGGCAGTCTCTGTCAAAGAGGGAATTCCGAATATCGACCACAGTTGAATCCTCACTTCCTCTGTGAAGCCCCAAGTCATGCAACCCAAGACCCTTGTGGCTTTTTTGCTGCAGGGTGCAGGTGTGGGGATTCTCTATGGTTTTGGGCGTAGGCGTAATATAGGTGCCGAAATAATTACTAACAGTATTTTCAGTTAACCTACCCCAAACCCCTATTCTAATTATTATACGGCCTCTGTCGTACGGGTCTCAGGGTACGGTGCATGGTTGGGGGACCTTCAACCCTTGATGCGGTCGGGGCCATGGTCCTGGGCCGAGAAGGCAGAGGGGTAGTTTTTTTATTTAGGGTCCTTTTTTCTAGTCCCCAAAATAGCACGGCACAACTTATAAACAGGACCCTAAACAGGGACCCCATTTAGAGAACTGCCCAGATGCTAGCTAGAGAGTATGGCAAGAGACGTCGAAGAGGTCAAAGCATAGAAGTCTTTACATTAGTATACCTTCATCTACCAAAACCTACTTTTTTGTAGGGTCCCTATATATTCGATATCAGGGTTTATACTAAGAACCTACAAAAAAGTGGGGTTTGGTAGTTTAAGGTAGCACATGCTACCTCAGCGGCTAGCGGCTAATCTGTACAGGAACTTCGCGCCTGCATCTGCAACGCTAAACTCTTTACCATAGGGATCTAAGGACTCATATATTAAGGCTTTTGGGCCCAAAGACCATACTATATAAGGCTTTTGGGCTTTTTTGATCCCTAGGGTTACAAGACAGGATACCTCCTCCACAAAGCTGCATAGCAACATAGTGCCTCAGAGAAAGGCCAAGTTGCAATCACGTAAGGCTAATATAGGGGCCTAAATGATTACCTACACTCTTTTATTTTTTTTGGTGGGGGGGGCGGGGGGGGGATCTTAGTATAGTTATAGTATAAGATACCCCAACACCCTATTAGAATAGTATAAGATTCCCCAAAACCCTATTCTACCTATTAAGGCCCCTGCAAGAAACGCCTCCACAGGTCATCCAGGTCTTGTTGCAGGCCGGCGCGAGCGTGGACTTGCCGCAGGAGGCCGGCACTTGCCTCTAACGTAGGGGGATTTGAGTAGTTCTCTAAATTAGGGGTCCTTTTTAGGTCCCCAATATAGTACGGCACCCTTATAAAAAGGGCCCTAAAAGGGACCCTGATTTAGAGAACTACCCATTTAGTAATTAGACAAGGGCTTTGGGGAGTATATTATACTATAATGATTAGACTAGGGTTTTGGGAGTATATTAATATTATACTATAATTTTAATAGGGTTTTGGGAGTATATTATACTATAGCTATAATAGGGTTTTGGGCGTATATTATACTATACTTATACTACTCGGCCCCCAAGACCGTATTCTAATTATTAAGATTATTAAGGCCCCTACATTAGGTCCGCAGTCTTGTGACTCTGGCACTTGGCGCCTATGCGGGGTGAAGCAGCCACTGCTTTCGATTCCGATGCGAGGATGGGAAAACCGCGCTATACTGTGCTGCCGCGCCGCTCGCCAGAATGAGTGTCGACTACATAGGGGTTCAAACTATATAGCCCCCTTTACCCCTCTATTGTTTCAGGGTTGCGTATAGAATCCTTCAAAGAAGAACGTTTTGGGTTCCCTAGGTACGGGTTGGGATCCAGGCCGGTAGCTCTGAGCTTTCGAGCGTGGGTTTCAGGAAGCCTGGCAGACATCAGTTCGATTAGGACAGAGGGTTCCCCCTAAATGCTAAGGGGTCCTGAGTGAATGGGACTCAGGGTCTAAGGACTCGTGTTCAGGCTTTAGGGTTAAGGGCTTCAGGGTTCAGGACTTTAAGGTGAATGATGAGGACCTGAGCACTCAAAGCACTGTAGCCTGAAGCCACCAAATGCCCAAGCCATGCAGCCTTTACACAGATACGAGGCACAAAACCTGTGTGTAGGGCTTTCGAGTGCAGGATCTTCGGCTGGCGGATTGGGGAATGGTAGGGTTTAGGGTCATCATATATGTGGCTTGTCTTCTATGCTATGCTATGCGATACTAACCCTATACTGTATAATAGGTGCGAAGTATGGTCTTCGTAGCTTTTTCGGTTTTGATCAGGGCAGAGTGTCCATTTTCTGACCATCCGTCTTTCTTTTTGCAGGCAAACCTCAATCCTGTCGGAGGCCCCAAAGGCCATGGGCACCTCTGACCGAACCAGTCCGGCACTTCGTTGCTTTACATAGAGCTCTTAAAAGGGCGTGAGATTCTGCACATCAAGTGTTTTGGCTTCAATATGAATCTAGAGCCTACGCCCTCTACCCGAAACCCCTCCGCCTAACTTCCCGAAAGGAGTCCAGCTCCAATACCCTATATAAGACACGATTACGACCCTTCTAGAGGCTTCTGAAACCTCCACGAAGCCCTCATGTGCCCTTGCCAGGGGAACCGGAACCCGGATACAATTTTGATGATAAACCCATACTCAAGCCCCTGTGTTGGCTCCCGCACTGCGAAGTTCCCAAAACGAAGCACTGCGATTTCACTGCAAGACCCTTCTAGAATCGATTCTAGAACCCCATAAAAAGCCGACCAAGCCGAATGAGTAAGGTCCCTGTGTTGACTCCCCAGGAGAAACCAAGTTCACGCTGTGCAGCTGCTTTTGGATGCAGCCGCAGACCACGAGAAGCGACCTGGCTCTGACTCGAGCAGCCGAGAGTTTGGGTGCAGGGTTTACGGCCCAAAACCCCAAACCTTAAACCCTAAAATCCAAACCCTAAACTCTAAACCCTAAACGGTTTAGGATGGTTTAACAGGGCTTTACAGTGGGGGGGGGGGTTAGGGCTTAGGGTTCAGGATTCAGGGTTTGGGATTTCTGCTTAGGGTTTTAGGGTCTCGGATTTATGGGTTTGGGATTTATGGGTTAAGGGTTTATATTCAGGCTTTTCGGGTTAAACGGTTTGGGTTGCTCAGGGTTTTTAGGGCTTGGGGTGTGGGTTTTGGGATTTAGGATTCAGGGTTTAGGGTTTTGGGTTTACGGCTTGGGGTTTAGGGTTTAGAATTTATTCTGAACTTGCTATTTCCTAAACCTTAAGCTTTAAAATGGGAGATAAGAACGAAGGGCTGCAATGCATTTACCAGATCATTCGGATGCCCCTGCTTCTACTGAACCGTTGAGAAGTTAGTCAGTTTTCGTGTTTAGGACAAGTTTAGGATTTCAATCATGGGGTGTACCTGGACTCCACAAAGCCTACCTTTGCAATCACTTCGCTAAGGAAATCATAGTAATGAGCCCTCCCCATATGATGATTTCGCGTTCGGGCTGCGGGATGCTGGAATTCTGCGGGATTGGTGCAGAAAGTCGGCCGGCTCTGAGTGGGAAGCCCCAGTGTAAAGTCAGAACTTTCGCAGGTAGAACCTCGGCATCCTCACCCTATAAAACCTAAACCCCAGGCCCTAGGCCGTTAATAAGGCCAAGTGCCCCCCCGCTAAATGCCACTGGGAGGCCTGCTGATGGCGGTTTTACACCGCTGCGCATCGCTGCATCCAGGTGCCTTGTAATTTTTATTTTCGATGAGAACAGAGTTTAGCCCTTAGGGTTGTCCAGATCTCTTCTTGGTAATTTTAATTTTCGATGTAGAACAGAGTTTAGCCCTTAGGGTTGTCCAGATCTCTTCTTGTGACTCGTTCACTGATTGTCCTAGCTTCGGGCTCCGCTGCCGCAGTACCATACAGACCTCCGATGGGTATGCCATACTTCTTCGTCCCCTGATCAAGAGTGGGGGATGACGCGCTACATCGATGAGAACGTCGAAGCTATACATAAGATTCACCTTCCAAGGTAAGGTTGGAAATGTGCAGGAATTTTCCTTGCATGTCTGCACGGTCCCCAAGTCCGTATGGGAGAAATTTAGTTTCGGGGGTTTTCCATGGGGCAGGTCCTGAGAAGAAGCGAATTGTTACCGTAAACCATGGACGGCTGTCATTCTCAAATCGGGCGCTTTGGGGTGATTAATCCTGAAACCCTGAGCCCAAGGTTGAAGAAGGGGTAGAGTTTATCAGTTTGGGGGCACAGGTGCTACGTGGAGACTTGCCGACTGATGCAGCGCAACGTGCCCAAGAAGCCGATGAAAGGCAACCGCTGAGAAATGTGCGAAGCTGAGGGGGATGCGGATTTCGGATTCTGGGTTCAAGGTATAAGCAGAGAGCCCGGTCTACCCCTCGATTAGAAACAAATTCGATATAGTCTAAATCATGTTGAGATATTTCCCTGGCTCAGATATATTCCTGATTCGAAGGGTATCCTGCTCTCGTTCGACACATCTTACTCAAAGCGGCTGATCAGAAGGGCTTGTAAGATTTGGTTTTGTGGCGGGGGCTTATGATTTCATGATTCGGGCTTGCGGGATTGTAGATGCATACTTTTCGCGGTTTAGGGTGAGGGTTTAGGACCTGTTTTGCCAACTTACTACTAGTAGTTTGTGGAGTTTGTCGGGTGTCGTGGAGGGGGACGCCGGAGCAAAACTGGGCACTACGGGGTTGGGAATGGACCCGCCACTTTGCAGGATACAACAGTTCCCTGAAACCTTAGCCCCACTGAGGAGGATACCTCCACTTAAGAAGGAAACAACGGTGTTAGAGTTGGTGGGTAGGGGAAGTTTACACTCTAAACTCAAAACGTCTATAGGCGGTTCTTGCGCCATGCCGAAGCCCAATTTCCGAACAGCTCAAACCCTATTTAGTATAGGGGTCGAATGGTTCTTAGCAACCTCTTCTTAGTCTTTACATAATCATAGTATAACATTATTACAATAATTTAATCCAAAACCTTATTCCAATAGTCAAGGCAGTTAAATTATTTGTGTGAAAGATTCTGGGCTTAGGGTCTAGCATTGTTTTCAGAGGCATGCCCAGGGTCCCCGAAGATAAGTATAACAAAATACACCCCGAAATCTTGGTCTAATGATTCAGGCCCGTACAGCACATCATCAGGAGGATGTAAGTTTTTGGTTACTAGCATGGGTAAGAAACAGCCGAAATTGTGATTTTTGCAAGGGTACCATGCTCAGTATATCATTGAAAAGCCGGCCGCCATCTCCACGCCCCAAAACCCTGCAGCTGAACCGCACCTGTACCATAAGCTTCAACCACTAAGCCCCCCCAGACGCCATGCAAAAAGAGCTCAACAACAACCGTAACCCCCCTAAACCCCCAGACCCCTAAACGCCCAGACCCCTAAACGCCCAAACCCCTAAACGCCTAAACCCTACACCCTTAAACCCTAAGCCTAAAGCCTGAAACCTGAAGACCCTACACCCCTAAACCCTAAACCCTAAACCCTAAATCTTAAACCCTAAACCCTAACCCTAAAGCCTGAAGCGTGAAGCCACCGGACCAGCGAAGATGACCCGAGGCCCTTCGCCACTTCCGTGAGATGCCGAAGCTTTGTATACAACTCTCAGTCTTAGGGTTTAGGGTTTAGGGTTTCGGGTTTAGGGTTTAGGGTTTAGGGGTTTGGGGTTAGGGGTTAGGGGTTTAGGGTTTAGGGTTTAGGGTTTAGTCTTAAGGGTTTTAGGGATTGCAGGGTTTGGAGGGTTTAGGGCTTTTACGGCTTATAGGTTGTGTAGGGTTTTGTAGGGTTTTTAGGGGTTACAGGCTTTGTAGGGCTTGCACGGATTATAGGTTTTGTAGGGTTTGTAGGGCGTGTAGGGTTTAGGGGGGCTTTTAGGGAGTATGGGGTATGTAGGGCTTCTAGGCTTTAGGGTATTTAGGGATTGTAGGGTTTGTTGGGTTTAGGGTTTAGGGTGATTTTAGAACCCGTAGCAAGTTCTCCTTTTTCATGTTTTGTAGGTCCTGTTTGAAAAGTCTTGTCTAGATCCTGAAGGCCTAGGTCCTAGTCGTTCCAGTCAGTACAGCCCGTGTTTTGGGTAGTTCAGGGATGGTTTTAGTTTAGGGTTTCAGGTAGGGTTCAGGGCTCAGGCTAGCTTAGGGCTCAAACACATGGGACCCGAAGCGAGTTTGAGGCTCGGCCCCTTCACAGCGGCCGGGACTTCTCGGGGTTTAGATCCATTTCTCCATGTCAGGGGTGTCTGAAGCATTTGAGGGTTTTAGTGTTTAGGGTTTAGGTTTAAGGCTTAGGGTTTAGGGCTTAGGATTTGGGGCCTTTTTTGGATTCACGGTTCAGGGGTAATCGATTCACGTTCATGCTAGAGCATGCGCATGCTTTTTGTGTGCGCGCGGTGGGTTGCTGAGCATCTGCATGGGGCTTGCTGTTCCTAGGAATGTGGGAAAGGACTGAGCCCTAATGCATGACTCCTGCACCGTGGAAGGGTGATCGTAGGAATGCAAACATATCTTGTTGGTTGTTCAAGCTTCCGGGTTCAGGGTATTAGAGCTTGGCAACTTTGGGTTCAGGGTCTGCGGGTTTAGGAGGAGTGTCTTCTGGGATTTTTCGTGTACGGCGTGGTTTAGGTTTCTTAAGCTTAGTGTTCGAACAAAAATCCCGACAGCTGTAAAGGTCAGTAGACATGCAGGCAAGAGACTGCTTGTTGGGGTTAAGACAGACTGAATGGGTCTTGGCGCAGCGGCTTGCGATGTGCCTTGCTCGCGATCACAAAAGATGCATCCACTGCAGATTCACACTTTCTCTGTAACCTTTAACTTTTTGGGGGCACTAAAATCCCAAATCCCCGTTGAAGTCCAAAGGTTAGCCTTTAAATCCCCTAGGATACTGGACAAGTAAGTTTAAGATTCTGAATACGGAGCCCCAAGCAGGGAGCTCACAATTCCAATAAAGCACTAATTGCTTCGGGTTCAGAGCTCGCGGACACATTTGCATCCTGAGGGCAGGCCAAGGCTTCAAGGTGTCGCAGGGTGTAGATATTTGAGTTTAGGGTTTAGGGCTGAATGTAATTAGAGTATAAACTCTTGAATGTTGCTACTTTTATTCGTTAGGTGCCCTATATATAACTGTAGCATAATGTATCCCACAACCAGATTTTGATTTTTAAGGTAATGCCCCTGTATTATAGAGCCTTTACAACCGTTTTGGAATCAAGGAGCCTCCGGGTTTAGGGTTTAGGGTTTAGGGTTTAGGGTTTAGGATGTCTGACGGTTTAGGGCTCGGGCTTAACGGTAAGTTTTTGTAGGCAACACCCGAAAGCATCGTAGTAAGCTGACAGTTCCAGGCCGGGAACATCCCTTTCTAGCTGCCAGGGTGGCTGGAATGATCTTCCGCCTGTGGTTCTGGTCCCCCACAGATCCCAATACTCCTTAATTAAGGAATAGACCTTTAATCATACTGCATTATAAGCCCCCTATAACTCAAGGTCTATTCTCTTAAGTAAGAGGTATTCGGATCGCCGGTCCTGTTTCCGGAACCCTACGCTGCAAAGGGATATCCACAACCCTCCTAAACCCAATGACGTCCGCGTAACGCAGGGTCACCAGCGGGTCGGCAGTCATCGTGTCTAAAATATAGAAGCCCAAGTAATTACCAATATTATTCCCTAGGGCTCTCCATTAAACATATACTAGGAGCCCAAGAACCCTCTTACCCCTAAGCTAAACCCTAGACCCTAAAAACCTCTACTACGCTCAACCGCAAGCCTCCAGCCCAAGTCCGCAAGCTTGAGGACTGTGTCGACAAGCTTACGGAATTACTATAGAGGCCTGAATAATTGGAATAGGGTTTGGTGTATATTATACTGTAATTCTCGTAGGGACCCCGCAAAACCCTATTCTAATTATGAAGGCCCCTCCATTAGGACCATCTTAGACTAGTGTAGGCTGTCGAGCAGGTGATAGCAGAGATGGCTCCGGCTGCTGCTGGCGCTGCCACCACGGCTGCCGGCCTTGAGCGCAGCACGCGGCAGTCTGACATTCGAAGAGCAAGTAGCTTTAGGGATCTAAGGACTCATATATTAAGGTTTTTGGGCCCAAAGACCATACTATATAAGGCTTTTGGGCTATTTTGATCCCTAGGGTAGGACACTCCGCTTTGCAGCTTTCTTGTCGATCGCTAGTGCTAGGGCTCCTGCGGCCTTCCCCGACATACCTGCCGTAGCATGAAGACAGCCATCCTACTCCAGTGTTCATGCCCCAGCGAGGAGATCACAGCCGTAGCATGCTGCAAGGAGAACGTCTGTTGCTGCAGAAACCGTATCCGGTCAGGTTATCCTTCGTGGTCTCGTGGCATAGAACTTTGATGTGTGGTTGTGAGGCTTCAAAATTCAAGCCGAAGTGGCTTGAGGACTGTAGACTACTGGAGATTTTCTACAAGAATTTGGGGCAGCAGGCAGTGCCATTGATGTTGCTCTTTCTTCCTCTGCTTTCGGGCTGCTTCAGCGTCTACCACCAAAAGTCCAGGCCAAGGCTCTGGTGAAGATTCCTCAACAGCTCATGTTGTTCGCAGGAGGTTCTGGCGATTAGGGTCTGAAATCTTACGACCGTAGTCGAGTGTCATGGATTTCCATGTGTGTAAGTTGAAGAGTTCGGAACCGAAGCCCGGATCCGTAAATCCCTACTTCCTTTGATCCAAAGCATGCTAAATTCTTCACTTCGTTGCAGAATGCTCGGATACGAACTGGCCTTGTTGACGTGCATGTGTTCAACACACGATGTCAACTGGCCTCACGAAGAGTGGAAAAGACTGCGGAATCTTCCTGAGCCAAAACCCTAAATCCTCAACCCTTTCATGTTCAATTCTTCAAGCCCTAGACCCTAAAGCCTTAAACCCTTAAACTTTAAGCTCGGAGCACTCGAGGACTTTGGGTTTAGCAGTTCCACAACGCTCGCATGCCCGTTTGGCTTCCAGCTCCAGCCACATATGAAGTGGGATGGAAGCCCTACCCCCTTTAGGGTTTAGGGAGGAGAGTTTAGGTTCTTGAAATGTTCGGCTATCCGGGAGCCTACTTGAGGGCTGTAGCTCAACATGCCTCATGATCAACCGTGTATCTACCGTGTGCGACGTTAGAGCCTGGCAGCGTCCTCAAACCTATCATGAGAATGTACCCCCGCCCGAAGCAAGAGTGCCATACGTAACCATCAGCACATGAAGCCGGCGAGTCTCTGCTCCGATTGTTGTGAAATGTAGAAGCATGAGTCCTCGGTATTAGTACCCCTCGCGGTCTCAGTATAAGTATAC